ATGTTGAACCACCCTGTATTTGTTTCAATTAAATGTCAGTAGATAGTAAATCAGAAGTGAAGATGGAAACATTTGAGCGGTTTTGATCGATAATGAATAGTTTCGACACAAAAAAATACTAAAGTTGAAAAATCTAGATTTTAAACACCCTATACCTATGTATTCATTCCTGCTAGACCCCAAGTGTGATAGATCGATGGAATTAGCTCTTCAGGGAGAATCTGAAAATCCAATGAATTACAGGGTGTTCTATTCAAAATAAGGAAGGTAATGAAAAATCCGGTATAGCTGAAAAAGTGGCAACATTGGCTATAACATTTTCAAATCTGCCACGTTTTGAAATCACACAGTACATAAATTCAAAAAAATCCAACAACAGGTTACCGAGATATTCACCTGTTTCCATACATATCAGCGACCCTGTATATGAGAACACAGGCAGGCTTTGGTTCGAGAACCTTCTCGAATGATCTTCCGTCTCCTTCTTTTTGTTCTAGAAGCTTCTTAGAATAAACCTTTCTCTCTAATTGTTCCATCGATTGTTTCCAGAACATTCCAGAATCTTCTGTGACGTTATCTGTCATTGCGGCATATATTGAGTGTTCGGAAATATGCTAGTGCATGTAGGAATCATTGGGAGGTAGGAGAGCAATCTGGGATGCGTGATACAGGATGATCGTTGTACTCCTGCCTTCCTGCTGATGTTTCTAAAGCCCCTCCAAGGGGAATATCATTACACTGCCCCATCCTTAAAACGCATTCCTCCTGGAATGCATTCTGATCACTATGTAGATAGGGACAACTGGTTTCATTTCTACAACGTGCAGTATGGTATGGTATGGTATAGCATGGCACTGTCTTCTCTCTAGGAGTTCCCTTGGAATTCCAGCAGCATACCAGAATTTCAACTCCGGTGAATCTGAATAAAACCTCTAGCATGTTCCTTACAATTCTCCAATTCAAGCCATCCAGTCCACACCCCAGCTTCGGAACAGCTATCTTCTGTATGTCCTTCTCGAGTATGATGCTTCGCAAGTCGACTAGCGTCTCCCAGAGGTCCTTGTGAGTGGGTTTCTCAGAAGATCTTCCTTTCGTTATGAGATAAAACAGAGACCTTTTTCCTTCAGCGCTGATATCTTCTATTTCTAGTGCTCGACCGACGGAGGAACCTTGTTGACGAAGCTCCTCTAACTTCCCAAACTTCCTCATGAACTTGTTCGCTATTCCTTGAAACATCTGAAGATCCTCAGCGACGCAGTGAGCTAGTGCGTATACTACAGGAATGGCAAAAAGGTCGCGGTGCTCTTCCTTGGTGACGCCAAACCTTGCTTTTGATGAACCACTGTATGTCCCAATGAATTCGTCGAATGTAAGATCCTTTTCTTCCGGACGAATTTGTTGAACTTGTTGATCTTGTGTTCCCTCGAATGGTGCTAGTCTGTTGAAATGAACGACTCTTGGTTTGCCACTGGGTTCTTTACTGATGCGGTATATGACATCGTTGATCTTCTTCTTGACGGTATAAGGTCCTACCCAAGATCTCTGTAGTTTTGGACAAATACCTCGTTTCCTTTGTGGATTGTACAACCACACCAGGTCTCCTTCTGCGTATCCTGCACCCCCAGCTCTGATGTCGTATCGGTCTTTCATGCGATCGCTGGCGATTTTCAGATTAGAACGAACCAATTCGTGAATATCGTTCATCTTTTTCATCAAATCCGTGACGTAATCTTCCCCCACTATGTCCTCACCAGGTCTGCATCCGAAGACCAAGTTATTATTATTATTATTAATAGAACCTTCGCCGGAGTCTGTCCTGTAGATTCCTGTACCGCAGATCTGTAGGCCATCAAGAAGAAAGGAATATGTTGATCCCAGTCTTGTTGGTGTTGATCCACGACTTTGCAGAGATACCTCCCTATGGTTCGATTCATTCGCCCCACCATGCCATCTGACTGTGGATGCAATGGAGTTGTTCTTGTTTTCTTGATTTCTAACTTCTCGCTCATCTTCTTGAACACTTCATTCTCGAAGTTCCGGCCCTGATCAGAGTGAAGTTCCAATGGCACCCCAAAACGACTGATGAGTTGATTCATTAGGACATCGGCGACAATTACGGCTTCCTGGTTAGGGATCGCATACGCTCCCACCCACTTGGTGAAGTAGTCCATGCAGACAAGGATGTATTTATTTCCATTATCAGTCACTGGAAACGGCCCCGCAATATCCATAGCAATCCTCTCGAAAGGGCTTCCAACATTGTACTGTCTCATGGGTGCCCTTGGTTTACGATGAGGCCCATTGCTGGCAAAGCACACGGTGCATTTACGGCACCACTCCCTGACGTCGTCACTGCAGTTCACCCAGTAGAACCGCTCTCGTACCCGCTGCAGTGTCTTCCTCACTCCTAGATGTCCCCCTGAAGTTCCATCATGTACATATCCAAGTACTTTCGACACTCGGCTCTTAGGAATGACCAACTGCATCCGTTTATCCGACCCATCATCACTCTCGAGATTCCTCTTGAGCAGGTCATCTTCTAATACCAAGGAGTCCCACTGACTCCAGTACGCCTTCTATGTCTGTGAAGATGGTGCTACTTCTTGCCAAGAAGGACGACGATTCGCTTTCTTCCATTCTCGAAGCTTGCGAAGTTCTGGGTCCTTTTCTTGCTCTTGCTTGATTGCTGCAGGTAACCAATCTTTATTGACAACGGTGGTTCTGTAGAGGGCTGCTTCCTTATCCTCCAAACGACTACAATGTGAGCACTCAGGTGGACATGGCCTTCTGGACAATGCATTTGCATTCTTATGGCTCGTCTCCACTCGGTAAACTGGTCTTCTTGGTTCATCCCGCTCTAGTTTTCCTGCGGCTGCTCGAACTGGTTTCTTCTCCTCATCCAAGAGGCCCTTGATGACGTTTATAAGGTGTTCAGTTAGATTATGCCTGGGACTGTCCACTATGTTCGTGCTGTCATCGACGGCTTGGAATTGTGTTGCTTCTCGTGTAGCTTTTATCGCGGCCTCGATTTCTAGCGCAGCTGCCAGAGCACTGGGAGAGTCTTTAGGTCGAGTTAACCGAACCGCTTTTCGCATTTCCATATCTCGCAATCCATCCAGGAACGTTTGGACAGCAAGACAGTCTATCAGATACTCAGGAGCTGATGGGTAGGCACACCGAACCAACCGAGCTACTTCCATTTCAAATTCCTGTAGGCTCTTATTGTCTCCCTGTCGACAGTTCTTTATTTGTGATCGTAACACTTGCTGTAGATGTTTTTGACCATACCGCATGTTGAACCGTTCGATGAGATAATCGTAGTTATCGGATTTATCTTCCGGAATGGCTTGCAAGATGTTTAGTGCATCACCCCGTAGAGCTACTGTGAGAGCTACCACTTTGTCTTCTGATGTCCACCCATTGGCTTTGGAAGCTGCTTCGAATTGCTTCAGGTAGTTTGGCCACGATGTTTTTCCATCGAATGTAGGCGGCTTCACTCGATTGGTAGTAACCACTGCATCCGGCCCTATTTTTGTTTCCATCACGAGTCGTTGACCATTTCCTGACTCTTCCATCGCAGCTCTCCTGCGAGATTATGACTTTAGTTCATCTATTTCGAGCTGCAGTTCTTTCTTCAGATCTTCTATCTGAGTCGCGACTTGAGCTGTTATCTGAGCCAATACGTCCTGCCGTTGAGCTGAGATCTGAGAGGCGATCTGATCTTGCTGAGCAGAAATCTGTGCCGAGATCCCAGCCAACATCGATTCTGCTGAAGCTGGTTTCTCGAAGGTAAACGTCTCTGGATCTTGACCTACGCTCACCATATACTCTTCGAGACGATGCTGAAGTGTAGCCTTGATCCCTGTTGTGTCGAGGTCTCTCTCCTCCAACTCGCGTTTCAAGTCCACCACTTTCAACTCGTGTAGTTTCTTCATTGCAACGGTCTGTTCACTTCACACTGGAATATCCCACACTTCTGACACCAATTGTTACGTTATTCGGGTGCAGAAGCGAACACGACACTATTTATTTTCGAACTGATTTATTTAAACTGAAGAAACACTAATTTATATCGAACTTATAACTACTATTTATGTAAAACGATTTATATCACGCGGTATATAACTGTCTCTCTGACACTCGCTGTTTGACTGACTGACTCAGTTGTTCGGCCGTCTTATATATGAGAACACAGGCAGGCTTTGGTTCGAGAACCTTCTCGAATGATCTTCGGTCTCCTTCTTTTTGTTCTAGAAGCTTCTTAGAACAAACCTCTCTCTCTTATTGTTCCATCGATTGTTTCCAGAACATTCCAGAATCTTCTGTGACGTTATCTGTCACCGCGGCATATATTGAGTGTTCGGAAATATGCTAGTGCATGTAGGAATCATTGGGAGGTAGGAGAGCAATCTGGGATGCGTGATACAGGATGATCGTTGTACTCCTGCCTTCCTGCTGATGTTTCTAAAGCCCCTCCAAGGGGAATATCATTACAGTATCATATTTTATCTCCCCCATAATTGCAAGAATACACTGTTCGATTCTAGACCAACAGCAACAATATTTGAAGAAAACTTCTTGTAGTGACTCATCTTATCAAAAAACAATATGATTATAGCTCAAATTGGAAAATTTATCAGGAGACAAAAAACCAACATTCAGACTTCAGCGGCCTCCAGCGCCAAAACTAGCCATTAGAACAATTTTGTATTCGGACATTTTGGTCAGAATGTCTTGGATTATAACATATTAAAAATCCAGCCAATTCGACAGGAGGCTAATTTTACCTATAAAACGTGCGGTGTCCTTTCCGAAACTATGATGGAATGAAAACTAATTTGAATATCGCAGTGTAATTATTTTATATTTGTCAAGTGGTACATAGTTCCACCAGCATTACTGTCATTACATGATATATGTTTTTCGTGAGAAAATATTATATTTGTACACGCACACCAACAATGGAGTACATAAACTTATATACCTACTTCATTTTTTAGGTCATTCATGGTACCCACAACTCAGTCAACTTCATCTGTGATAATAAGGACATCAAAGCCATCAGCTTCGTTGGCTCAGATACTGCCGGAAAATATATATATGCGCGGGGTGCATCCAACGGTAAACGTGTCCAATCAAATATGGGTGCAAAAAACCATGCAGTAGTTTTACCTGATGCTAATAAAGAATCAACAATCAATCAGTTGATCGGTGCAGCTTTCGGTGCAGCTGGCCAACGTTGCATGGCTCTCAGTGTTGTTATTCTGGTAGGAGAGAGTCAAAATTGGATACCCGATATAGTGGAAAGAGCAAGGAAACTGAAAGTGAGTGCTGGACATGAACCGGGCACTGATGTGGGACCAGTAATTTCGAGGCAAGCGAAAGAGAGAATTCTGAAACTCATCGAATCTGGAATAAGTCAGGTAAGGAACATGAGAAAAATACATGAATTCGGAAGTGAACAGTATTTCGTTACAGTCGCGAATATTACGAAACATACATGAATTGTAGATGATACACAAACACTAATTATAGATGTATGGATTCCTCCACATCATGCAAATATTTTTCTATCAAAAAACTTTCCCGACCTTCAATATTCATAAACTAGCAATTGTTCATTGGAATCGAAAGATTGTTGAAATATTGGGGATTCAGAAACCCTATCAAAGAATATATATGAATCATATATTCTAACGAGTATGAATATTATGATTACACTTGTTCGCTATGAATATTTCACTTCTGTCTTCGAATACATATAAACATTCTCCATATATTAATTACCATTGGAGGCTCAGTCATGATTTTGAGCATTGCAAAAAAAACTATCGCGATTGGAAAGGCCAGCAAGAGAGCTAACAATCCTCTTCTGAGCAATGGAGATCCCATGAATCTGCGCAGAGAAGCCCTAACAACTATTACCACGTGTCTTATGTTGCTGAATTGGGTAAGCAGCTCTTCGTCATGAGAAATCATTTCTCCAGGTTCAGATGCTTGTCGCTTCGAAACCAGGAAATCTAATACTCTCATTGTTACTTACTGGTGATGGAATGAGATCGTATTGTTGTTTCTGGTGATGATGAGTTTGATGTTGAATCAGAAACTGAATAGTACTGAAGATTATTCGATTGAAATGTTACAATCTCGCAAGATTTTTGAAGATTCAGAAATTTGAATTTTTTTTTATGTTCTGATTCCCACAAAAAGGGTTATCCCGTAATGCTCAGAGAACATCGTGTGAACCAAAATAAATAAGGTAGGAATTAGTGTTCTTGAATTTCTGGAGCTCATATGCCTCGGGGAACACCTCCCTTGGCAATGTATTCCAGAGCCTCGCTGTTCGTTGGATGAACGAGTCTATGGAAAGAGATGTTCTGCAGGTCTCCAAAGTGACCACAAAGGGGTGCGAAGCCTCAACTCGACGGGTCAATCTCGAATAAGCACGGTTTTTCAATTTTCGAAAATAAACGATCGTCAGGAAATCAATCATTCATTCCCCAAGAAGTTTTATCGCAATTGATGATAATATTGGCATCTATTTTGTCTGATACGGCGTGGAGTATCATTTCAATCTTGGACGCCCGGCTTCAATCTCTGTAACAGTCCATTTTGACAGTGGCAACAATATAATTCATGAATAGGTAATAGACCAGGGTCGATAATTTTTTAACCAAAAAAAAAAAATAGTAGGATGAAACCTGTTGAGAAAGGATGAGAATATAACAAGAATGGAAGAAAAAACAATTTACGGGCGATCTGTGGTAAAAAACAGTTTACCTTGATTTCCGGCAAAACCACAAGTGCTATGAAGAAATAATAAATGAAAAAGTTGTAGGTAATGAAGAGACCTACAACTCTTGTGATCACACTTTTTTCACGTAACCACAAAATTTATGTGAAAAATTCAAATAATCAAGTTTTTGATTATTTATTATGCGAAAAACAATTTTTATCCACGAAATTTGGTGAAAACTTACCTTTGACTCAATATCGGAACACCCCATGATTTTCAATTTCAATTTCAAAATTCTCACGTCGATATATCAGCTTTTTAAAAAAACTCGGGGCGTTCTTTGTTCGTTGAATTCTCTTCTTTCTGATAATGTGAAAAACTATTTACATTACTATAGTGAATGTTTTCAGAAATGCAAAGAAAAGGAAAAAACTCGAATCTGATTTTTTTTATCCACTATGTACAATTTTGAGCTATTTAGTGAATATTATACACTTGAATTATATAAAGATTGCAAGGAACATGCAAAAATAGTTATTCTGAATAGATAGGATTTAAAGGAAGGATTTCGATGAAAAAATGTGATTGCTGCAATTTATAATTCAAGAATTTGATTTATTAAATTCTGATCACATTTATGTCATAGAAAATCTCATAATACATTAATTGAAATGTGAATCGTACTATTGAATTTTGATACCTTATACTGATTATTATTATTCATAATAATATCTTTAAATGCATTATTCTTGTTATTAATAAATTTTATCTTGAACATTAATCACTTATATATTCATCGTTAGATTCGACAAACCTTCTCGATTCTAGTAAATCTTCGTAATCTTCAAGACCATCACCGTCCTCGTATCCAATATTATTTTTAGTCTGAATTGTTCCTGCATCCACAATTTCGTCTGAATTACTAACTCCCTCGTAGGTTTTTTTCTTCCACATCGGTGCATTTTTCAGAACCATGACAATTTGAGCATGAATTTGTGCATTTCAAGCCATGTTTTTGAAAGCAGACGGTGATGGTCTTGAAGATTCCAAAGATTTACTAGAATTGGGAAGATTTGTCGAATCTAACGATGAATATATAAGTGATTAATGTTCAAGATAACATTTATTATTATATCAGCATAAAGTATCTGAATTCAATAGTACGATTTATAATTTTTTTCATATATCATGAGATTTTCTATGACATAAATGTAATTAGAATTTAATAAATCAAATTTTTGTCAAGAGAATTGCAGCAATCACATCTTTCTATTGAAATCCTTCCTTTGAATCTTATCTTTGATATTTAGAACAACTTTTTTCGCATGTTTCTTGCAAACTTTATGATTTATGGATTTGTAATTTTTCTGGTTTTCAATGTAACATAGAACATACAATCTCACGTTTTTCAAGTAATTGAAGTGGAAATTTCAAGAAATATCTCAAAATTGTACATAATGATTGAAAAAAGTTTTTTTCTTTTCTTTGCATTTTCTGAGAACATATTCACCATTGTAAAGTATATATTTTCTCACATTATCAGAAAGATGAGATTTCAACGAACAAAAAACGCCCCGAGTTCACAAAAAAAGTTGACATTTTGACTCGAGAATTTTTGATTAAAAATTAGGGTGTTTTTTCAATATTGACTCAATATGTAAAGAAGTCTTCAGGACATGAAAAGGTGAGTGCTGACCAAATTTCGTGAAAATGAATATTTCATACACAACTTTGCTATTCAATATTTTTCCATAGGGTTCCTAGTTTTGCTGAAAATCAAGATAAACCGTTTTTTACCCTCGAAAACTCACTCCCTACCAATTCTCGACCTCAGATCGCCCGTAATTTATTTTTCCTTTCATATTTGTTATATTCTCTTTATTTTTCATTGAGTTTCATCCTACTATGATTTTTCTTCACATTTCACCGTTCTCAATGGCTTCAGCACCCTGGCTATATAGCAGTAGGAAAAAATTATTCTATAATTAATGTTTCTTTTTTCACAACCATGTCGATACAAATCAAAAACATGTAGACTGACTGATTTTGGAAATTTGCTTTCCTCCATAAATGATCGAAAAATCTTTAGGTATTACTCATTCTATGTGTATTGAATTCAATATATTTTTCAGGGTGCAAAATGTCCTCTCGATGGAAGAGGCGTACTAGTTGAGAATTATCCTAATGGTAATTTCATTGGACCGACTCTCTTAACCGACGTACAACCATCTTACGAGTGCTATAAAGAAGAAATATTTGGCCCAGTTCTATGCGTAATGTCAGCGGACACCTTGGAAGATGCTATCAATATTATCAACACAAATCCATATGGCAATGGTACTGCCGTTTTTACTACGAATGGTGGTCATGCTAGGCAATTTGTGAATGAAATTGACGTTGGACAAGTAGGAATAAATGTTCCGATTCCTGTTCCACTTCCGATGTTCAGTTTCACTGGTTCGAGAGGCAGTTTCCATGGTGACTTACATTTCTATGGGAAGCAGGGTTTGAATTTCTATACCCAAACTAAGACAATAACTTCACTATGGAGAAAAAGTGAAATGAGTTCTGCACCTTCTGTCTCCATGCCTGTACATAATTAGGTTGATAAAAGTTCAGTATATGTATGGAGTATGTCAATTGAAGATCGAATATCATAATTCAGAGAATCAAAGACTAAGATCAAGATATTTGTGAATGTATCGGAAACAAAATTCAATTTTTGAGACCATTCAAATTTCAAATTATTGTCTTCATCGGTTTTCTTGAGATTCATTGAAGGTTAATCACAAGGTAGGTGAATTTGATAACTCAACAAATGTACATTAGTTCTCAGCGATAATTTCGAAAGGAGTCACTTGGTCCATCATGATTCTCATTCACCAGGACGGAAAAGTTATATAACTCCTGGATTCCATTGCATTATCACTCATTAACCTTGTGAATGTCATCCTAGAGATGTTTACTTAGTTCAAATATTGAATAATTAAAAAATTCATCCATCGTTATGTATTTTATTTTCATTCTCCTGAAACAACAACAAACCTTTGTATCATGTTATTTCACCTACCTATAGGGGTGAGGTATTCACGTCATATGTTTCACTGCAAATAAAAGGAAACAATATGCGAACTTTCAATCCCGCATACATTCAACAGTCATCAATACTCATGAATGCATAGAAATAACAGATTCACATTCACAACAGAACACACTATTTTTGATACTCTATATACTTGCTATTTTTATAAACACTGAATATATGTTTACAATCTGTGATTCTCTTTTCTCTCCATTCGAGAATGCTGCGAATTACAACCAACAAATATAATCTTATTCATTGCTAGCATATCATATGTCTATGCCAACACACAAATATTGATTTATTACACAAGGATATCGATTATTAAATTTCGGCTCGAGTTAGTGTTGCCGACAAACTGAGAGCTAGATTCTTATATTGTTCCCGTGTATAATAACAATTATCTTATTCATTAAACAAGTGAAAAAAGTGATGAATTTGGTTGTGTGGTTGTGTTATTGTCTCCCGAAGCGTACGGGAGGGAGAAAAAAAAAGAGTTGGGAAAGAATATTCTCAGATAAAAAATTATGAACATACAAAAATGGATATATATTTATATAAAGCAATACATTGAGAATTCGCATTCTCTATGTGATGAGAATATTTACTCTTTCTCAGTTGATTCAATAGAAAACAACTATACTTTCCTGGCTATATGCCACGACGAACATTGAATTATATCTATTGAACATACACGATAAGAGTTTGAAAATAAGATATAAAAACTTTTGAAATTGAGAATTTGCATTCTCCTTCAGACGAAAATGTATATGCACACATCATTCTGAATATTCAACAGAAAACAACTACTTTCCTGGCTATTTGCCTCGTCGAACATTGAATTATATCTGATGAACATTCAAAAGGAGAACATGAAAAATAAATAATTAACTCCTTTTGAATGTTCATCAGATATAATTCAATGTTCGACGAGGCAAATAGCCAGGAAAGTAGTCGTTTTCTGTTGAATATTCAGAATGATGTGTGCATATACATTTTCGTCTGAAGGAGAATGCAAATTCTCAATTTCAAAAGTTTTTATATTTTATTTTCAAACTCTTATCGTGTATGTTCAATAGATATAATTCAATGTTTGTCGTGGCATATAGCCAGGAAAGTAGTTGTTTTCTATTGAATCAACTGAGAAAGAGTAAATATTCTCATCACATAGAGAATGCGAATTCTCAATGTATTGCTGCTTCATATAAATATATATCCATTTTTGTATGTTCATAATTTAACTGAGAATATTCCTTTTCAACACTTTCATACCCAATCAGGGGGTTCAAACTTGAACGATGGAAACTTGTGATTTTTATAGACCTCTCTAATCGCAGATTCGTGATAGAGTCTCAATTCAGAATTTCTTTCCACGCCCTGTATGATGAATGTCAATTTATCATACACCCAAAAGAAAAAAAAGAGCTGAAATCTAATATTTTCCCCGTGTAAAATACAAATTTTTTTTGTTACATTTAAAATAATTACATTATAATGAAATCAGAAAATTATCAATATTAAATTTGAAGTTCTTAATGAGTGTGCTACTTACTACCTGTGTTGGAGGTCTTTTTTTGTAGGCATCTTTATTATTGCTATGGAAACCTTTTGAAGTAATCAAATATCTGTCAATTTGATTATGTCTTTCGATTTCAAAAAACTGCTATTCCAGTGTTTGTTTAGTAATTCATGTAGTCACAAAGTGGAATGAAAGATACAAAGAATTTCTAATTCTTTCTCGTAGACGGTGTTATTGGCTTATTTTTGGAACTGGCACAACAGAAGCCATCAACAGTGCACCTATATATCTGGGAATGAAATACTAACTTTTTTTGGGTGGAAAAAAGTAATTAATGGAAAGTGACATTTTGTAACCTGTCAACAGGAATGAAATATCAAACTCATGTCCCGTCACAGCAAAATAGTTATTTATTATACAAAAGAAAAAATGTGCAGATTTTAGCTCGAGGTGTTGTCTCCCGACGTGTGGAGGAGGGAAGAAAAACCGTGGCATAAAATCTAGTATCACTTCGTTCATAATATACTACTCGTTTCTGTGACAAGAGAATAGTACGAATCGATATTGAGAAGATGTTATAAAATAATAAAATCAGGAAATTATCGACGTGAAATCTGAAGGTCTTAACATAAATTACCCCTGCGATGAATGGATTTTTTCTCAGGCATCTTTATCATTCTTTCGAAGACATCAAATCTGTCAGTTCGATTCTGTGATTTGATTTGAAGAAATTGCGTTGGTTGGTTAGTAATTCACGTAACCGTGAAGTGGAATGGAAGATAAAAGGACTTGCAGTTCTTTCTCGGACACGGTGTTATTGGCTCATTTTTTGGAACTAGCACAACAAAAGCCATCAACAGTGAATATATAGGTCCGAGAAAAAAGTACCCACTTTTTCACCGTGGAAAAGGAGTAATCCATCAAAAACATGATATTTTATAACTTGTCAACAGAGATGAAATGTCAAACTGTTTTCCATCACAGAAAAAACTATATCATCTCTTCCTCCCAGGAGGAAAGTGAATAATTTCTGGATATGCAGGGTGAAGCAATAGTCGGAGCTCGATTGCTCACGAATGTGAATGAGATATCAAGGTCCATAACTCCATTACTAGAAATTATCGCAGCATATATCTTCTTCTTCTTCTTCTTCTTCTTCTTCTTCTTCTTCTTCTTCTTCTTCTTCTTCTTCTTCTTCTTCTTCTTCTTCTTCTTCTTCTTCTTCTTCTTCTTCTTCTTCTTCTTCTTCTTCTTCTTCTTCTTCTTCTTCTTCTTCTTCTTCTTCTTTTTCTTCTTGCCTTTGGCAAGTCAATATCGAAGACTATGGCCTAACTCAAGTTCAAGGTATATTTTCATCAATTTTGTCGGTATAAATTATCATACCAAATGGGTTTCATATATGTATAATTCAGTGTTCAAACTAACATTCTGATAACCATTCTGTGACAAGCTATATGAATGATTGTTCTCTTTATGGATAATCTGCATACTAATCAAAATGGAGGTTATTTGTATTGAAGTGTCCTCTGGTTAGCACTATATTCCAAGGAGAAGGAATATATCTTCATTGTGAGATTACAATCTCAAACGAAAGCTAACGTACTTCACATGAGATTATTATTTCGTTTGATTTCTATACATCTCAGTACCAAGTAAATATCCTCAGCATTCGATAAATTCGAGGAAAATTTGAATAATGCAATGAGAGAGCTCGATCCATATTTATTCATTTTGTTATGCCTTTGAATCTCAGGGGGTGAGTAGTTAAGAAAAATTGAATGGAATTTTATTTACCCCTGAGTTTGGTTGATGGGTTACCTAAGATTTACTAGGTGTTTCAAATCTTAATTGTATTGACAACAGAAAAAAGTATTTTTAGTGCCCATCAGTTTGATACCGTAGAAAACTAGACACTAATAGTTCAGCATGACGAATGGGTGGGTACGTTAGGCTTAGTAAAATACTAAGTTTGATAGGGATGAATATGCTTTTAATCACAAATAATTTTTTTTTATCGCTTGGAGCGCACGAAAGGGAATCTCTATAATGTTCAGAGAACATCGTGCAATGACAAGTAATAATGTGCTTCAAATGTTACTAGATGGCTCAAGACTTCAAAGTAACTGAGTATCAATATCAATATAACCTAAGCAGTGTACGATTATTGCAACAACAAGAAATATAAATTGACTGACTGAAATCAACTCTTCAGATCAGTGTGAAGTGATACAATAACTGCTCAAAATCAACTCTCTGAGACAGTATGATAATATTTAACTTTTTAAACAACAAAATAACTAAGTAAATCAGTATCAATGAGACAAAGAAATAATAAGGCCTATTTTACCGCAGTGCTTTTTTGGTTTACAGGGGTATATTTTGTAGCTATACTGAGTGTATATTAAATCAATGACATGTTGCAATTATTATGTTAAATGAAACTTCAAAATGATGAATTATGGTTGGTGGTAGTTTATCCCAAATAAAATCATCCCTGATGGTGCATGGAATGAACTTACCAAATTATGAGCAGGTCGCCTGATGTACAGGGGGATCAGGTGAAGTCAGGCAGCGTCAGGTGGTGCCTCCAACAAAGTCGCCCTTCAGCCACGAACAAGCAGTGCCCAAAAACGCAAATTGGAGCAGCGTAGCGTTGACTGCAGACGACTACAAGACAGTCCCAGGTCTGAGCTGAGGGGGCTCAAATCTCGAAGGCGAGTATCAGTATAGGCGAGAAGACTATAATATTTCGATAAAAGGAACCCTATATGGAATGACGACAATCGTGCGTTATTTTACCAACACATATGAAATGAAAAGGAAATAGCAGCTGATAATTTAGAGAACATATAGTACCTTGGATGTTGTGTGGGTTCCAGCTAGGAGATGTGGTGGTGGTAATGCAGGTCTCGTTGGCCACGTGGATTTCAGCCACGAAAAATCCCTCTATAGAGGCAACAGGAATCCCATCCCAGCGATAATGGATATCCCGAATTTGAGATCTTTTCTTAATCAATAACAACACTAAGTAATGGAAAATCGAATGTTAGACAAATTCGAAATTATTCAAGAAACAGATCTTATAGCTTACTTTTGTGACCAAGCTGGTAGACCGCTGCAGACAAAATGGTGCCTATCAAGATTGAAGGGGCTGTCCTTGCCACATCTCACCGGAAGATCACCCTTTTTTG